AGTGCTCTGAGACCCCCCAACTTGTCCTGGGACCCCTCTCCCAGCCCAGATCTAGGAGCTGCTCCCAGCCTGGCCCTGGACACCCGGGTTGGGTTGGCTTTGGACCCCACACACAGCCTGGCCCAGGACCCTCAATCCAGGTTATCTCTGGGGCCCCCCACCCAGACTTGCCCACAGACCCCAAGACTGTTGCCAGCCTCACCTGGGACCCACACACAGCCTGGATCCAGGATGCCCCTTTCCATCCTGGCCCTGGGACCCTCCACCTCATCTGGCCCAAGTCCCCCTCCCCCATGCCCACTGCCCTCTCCACTTCTGCCCCTCTGCCCTCCCCAACCAGGTGATGCTTGCAAAGAGATCAGTGTGTCCCAAACTGCCCACACCCCCGTTCCTGTCCCCCTGCACTCCTGATGGGGAGGAGGGAGAGAAATCAGGAGTGAATTTGAGCCTGGGATGAAGGGAGGGGTGTGGGGAAAGGTTTAAGGTTTGGTTTTACTTCTCATTACCTTATTCTGATTTGACTGGTGATAAACAAATAAAAGAGGAGATTTAGATCAATTATTAGGAAGAAATTCTTTCCTGTGAGGGTGGTGAGACACTGGCACAAGTTGCCCAGAGAAGCTCTGTCTGCCTCATTCCTGGCAGTGCTCAAGGCAAGATTGGATGGTGCTTGGAGCAGCCTGGTCTAGTGGAAGGTGTCCCTGCCCATGGCAGGGGGTGGAAGTGGATGAGCTTTGTTGGAAGAAGTCTCTTCCAACCCCAACTATTCCATGAATCCATGATTTTATGAAATTCAATTAATATCCCCAAATTTGGTGTGTTTTACCTGTGCCAGCACATGGTGAGTGACATCCTGGTCCTTATCGCCACCCTTCCTAGTATTTTTCCCTCCCTGCCCACCTGAGGAGAGGGTGATGCAGTGGCCTTGTGGGGCATCCGGCATTTGGCCAGGGTCAGCCCCCCACAAGGTGGGTGACATCACCTCTCCTAAAGGTGACAAGTACAACCACATTCCAGGACAGCACCTGTCAGAGGGGTGAGGGAGGGGTGGCCCTGACAGGGTATGGGAGCAGAGAGGGGTGTATGGGGGGGCTGTATGGGGAGCTGGACATGGCAACTGTGTGTTGGGCTGTGAGGATGGACTAGGGGAGCTGTAAGAGGAGCTGTGAGGATGGACTGTAAGAGAGGCTACAGGAAGGGCGTGGGGGTGTGAGGAGGTGGTGTGTGGGTAACATGTCACAGCCCCACACATGTCTGTAGGTAGAACATCCCTTGTGACTGTTCCAGCCTTGTTGGTTGTGCCACCCCTGCCCCAGCCAAGATCTCCTGCAGCCCCTGCTGCTGGCACAGTGTAAGGACACTGCTCCCCACCAGCGCTATGCACCTCCAAAGTGTTGTGCTCCTTTAGGGGGGCCAGGAGCTGGAACCCCGTCCCTGCAGACCAGCTGCTGGGCTCCAGGGTGCATCAGGGACCTCTCAGCCCAGTCCCTGTGCAGGCATCACTAGGCAGACCCTGCCTGCCAGAAGATGCTCACGGGATCCTGGCTGCATC